AAAATTATTAAACTCAGGAACAAATACCCACAGAGACTCGAAACAATTAAAACATCCAAAAATACATTTCTGGAAATTCCCAGCAGCTTTAGTGACCACCCAAAATCTGTTACTAAAAGCCTGTAACGCCTGTTGCTAAAAACCCAGAATTGCACCCTCATGAAAAATCACCAAATCGATCGATCTAACTCAAAGGGATCCAATTCCCTTACCTCCAGAACATGCCTAGGACTCGATTGGATGGCTCGGGACATTGATCTCCTCGTTGATCGATGATCGAACCCTCAAACGTCACCGCTAATAAAATATGAGCTTCGGATTAGACTATCGATGAATCGAGTTTAGAAATCGTGAAGGGGTTCGTGGTCCTTACCTAGAACACGAAAGGGATGGGATCGGCGGCTCCTTCTTCTTTTCCTCTCGCCCGCGCCCGCGATGAGGATTCGGGGCGACGATTTATTTCTCTAGGAAAATAAATGGAGAGGGTGCGCGCGGGGGGGGGGGGGATTGGGAATTGTTGTTTTTTTTTTTGACAAAGATCAGTTTCATTACAAACTGAGAGAGTGTACAAAGTGGGGGTAAGCCCAATGGAAAGACCACATACAGTTAGCAAGAAAAAGAAAAGCCCATTAAGCCCAAACAAGTGCCCAAAGCAGTACACCCAGCTCAAGACAAAACTGAGCCCACAGCCACAAACACAAACAGAGCCCAAAACAAAGCCTCCCTCAAACCCTAGCCGCATGAATCCCATGGTGCTGCCGCTGCTGCTGAAACCTTCCGAAAATCCGACCACCAAACGCCACCATCATGGAATTGTTGCTGCTGCTGGGGGGATTAGACGGCCGCTCGGCCCTCTAGGTTAGTATATATATGTTATTATTATTATATATATAAAATAATAATAATTATTATTATTATTCTTAATCCGCGGTTGTAACTCTTAGTAAGTAATCGTTAAACTAACCACTTATTAAATCTGGTCGAACCCAAATCTAAACTACCGGGGTGTTACATTTCAACGACACAATCCCTTCCACCAGCAGATGGCGGCGAATTTGGAGATTCACTAGCCAAGGTCGAAGATGAAGAAAAAGGGCCTCCAACCCTAACCGATGATGACGATTTTTGGGCGGGATCGACAACGGAGATGATGATGCAGATCGTGCACCAACCCAATTCCTATCGCTGTCGATTCAGAAACCAAACCCTCCTTTTACTCGCTCCCTCTTTCTCCGCTTCGTTTTTCTGGTCTCTCAACCCTCTCTTTTCTGTCCGAATCATTTATCTTGGCTTGGGAAACTTTCCCCAATCTCTTGCTGTCTCTCTGCCACATGAGCTGGATCCTCATCTCCCTTGTGGGTGTAGTCATAGAGACGGCTACTGTAAGGAATCGGATTCTGCAGATTTAGATCCGGGTTGGCAACGACTACCAGCCGCATGAGCTGCGTTGGATGGATGAGCGGAATCTAAAGTGGCAAACTGCTTTTGGGAGGAGGTATTAGGGATATGCTTTGAATAAAGAATAGGGCGAGGTTTTTCATCGTCGTCGCCAATCAAAGGAGGAAGAAGACGGGTCGGTGTGGGGCAGAATTGAGAGCTCAAGGTTTCTCGTCGTGGTTGCTGTCGGTGTAGAGAGGGGTGAAGAGGAGGCACATTGGGGAAAGGCATGACCTGCGGGCTGCGACGACTGATATTTGAGGACCAAGAAGCAGCAACGGTAGGAACTCACTGACGTTGGTGAAGTAAGGAGGCGGCGATGGCGGGGACAGATCCCAAATTGACGGGGTAGAGCTAGGGATTTATATTTTATTTATTTATTTATTTAAAGAATAGCAATGTGTTATGATATTAAAAAAGTGATTGTTTGCCACGTCATTTTGCTGAGTTTCCACTTCAGAGTCAACTAACCGTTGACTGGACGGATAGTAATCGGAGATTAAATTGTTTTCGAAAAGGTTTGGCTATTATATTGTTTAAATGAAAGTTTTGGCTATTAAATTGTATTTACTCTTGTTTTTAATATTAAAAAGCAACACCCATAGAAAAGGTAGGGACATAGTTGGAAGAAGAAAAAACGCAACAATCTCAATCTCAACAATCTCATCAAGCAAACAATGCATGTATTGTTTGTGGTGAAAATTCAAAAAATAAAAAAGAGAGAGAAAAACGATGCATTGTGGATAGTGCACGCATTGTAACTATCTCAACCAAACAATCACCAAAACCATACGACCCCTAGTAATTGTCCAATAGGAGCATGACTCATTAATATATGATTGTGACCATTGTTTTGAAAAAAATTCAACATATATCAAAATAGAAATCGTTGTGTAGCTCATATAAAATATGATTTTTGGCTAAAAAAAATCTAAATTTAGAGTTCAATAGAAATAAATACGAATCAATTAAGAATAGTAGGGGATTGAAAAAGAAGAAAGATAGTGTGCTAGGAGGCACATTCTAATTGGATTACTGAAAATTTTAAAAGAAAAAGTGCTCTTTTAATTTAGACCATTAGATTTAAGAAGGAAAAATAATGAATTATCATTAAAAGAAAGAAGGATCCATGATAACGGATTGGTGGGATGGCTGTTGACATTGATACATAAGAAGATTGAAATTTTAAAATGATGAAGCATAAATGGAGAAAGTGTTTATTATATTCTTTAGAGTTAGATTATCCCATTAATTAAAGAATGGCTAAATTACACGGTTGGTCACTTGAATTACATAAATCTTTCACTTTTTCAACCCGAATTGCTTTTCTTTCTTATTAGCCACTAACTTTATGATTTGTTTCACCATTAGTCACCGACCGTCAGTTTTCGTCAAACTCCCTTAGATTTTTGATGACGTGGCAAACAAGAGCGCTGAGTGGGTTGGAAAAAAGGCTCAGATGGAATTTTTAATTAAAAAACAAAATTAAACAAAAAAATAAATTAATTAAAACCGCTTGCATTTTGGCGTTGCCGCAACCGATTGAGAATAGGGTCTTTTCCAACCTTCCGCCGCTGTCCCCGAGATGAGGCCATTTCCTTACCCCCAACTCAACGAACTAAAGAAGAAGGAGAAGAAGAAAAAAACTTCTTCCTACATGGACTCCTCGTCGGAAGATGATGGTCAAGGCAGTGACAGCGACGATTCCGGGTCGAATCAAAAGAGGGAGCTTGTCATTTGTTCGATGTATGCTTCCAGATTAGTTGTCTCGGGGTCGAAGCGGTGGAGGAGTGGGTGGAGGAGGGCTCGTTGTTCGATGGAAGAGAAGATGGAAACCCAATCGATGATGTTGCCCCGGCGCCGGAAACCGACACTATAGAAATGACGGCAGAGTCCAGCGACCAACGCCCTTGTTTCTTATCGTCGTGCCGCGTCCCCGGACCCGACCCCGACCCTGACTTGAATGAAAACGATGGCGTTGAATGGTTGAGGACGCCAGATCTGAGTAGCTTCTAGGGATTTTGGATTATGACGAATTAGAGATTCTGGTAAGCTTGCTTCTTTGTTTACAGAAGAGCAGAGATATTGACTAGCGGCAGAGGAGTGGGCGGACTGATTTAGTCGGCGGAACAAAATGGTGGTAGAAGCTGGTTGAAACTAGGGAGATTGATGATGGAGTCGACGGAGGAGAAGCATCGACGACCATCCGAATTTCTTGGTCTAACTGAAGTCAAAATTTCTCAATAAAAGTAAAATGAAATGTAAAAATGGTCCCCTCAATTGTTGGGTCGAGGCTGACTAGGCAGTCAAAATTATGCGACTTAGCTTTCTCACAGTCCAGTAAGCATTTTCATTTGCCACGTATTAAAAAATCTAACGGTGTTAACGGAGACTGACGATCGGTGACTAATGGTGAAACAAATCATAAAGTTAGTGGCTAATAAGAAAAAAGTAATTCGGGTGGCAAAAGTGAAAGATTTATGTAATTCGAGTGATCAATCGTGTAATTTAGCCATTAAAGAACCAAACAATTCCCAAATGATTAGTCGATTAATTACTCTTCACTCTGCGAGAAAAACAGGGACGGTTAGCTTGGTAACCTCTCTAAGGGGTCGGAAAAATGACACCCACTTTTTAATTGGTCAACTCTTTTCATTAATTATTGACAAGTATTAATGAAAGTAGACATAATAAATGTTCTGTTATTAAATACAAAATAGGAATTAAATACAACACATTAATTACTTGCTTTTTTTAAATCTAAACCTATAAAAAATACAATTCTCTCTCCTATCTCTAATATTTCTCTCTTCTATCTCTGATTCTTCCTTTCCCAGAAGCCTCCAATCACCAAGCTTCCTCCGACCACCACACTTCGCTTGTGAAAACCTGCTGGTAGACTTTCTTCGGCCACATGCAAAAATATACCACTTCATTAAAAAAAATGTACCACTTTACTGATATGTTGTACCACTGCACTGATACTCAGATCTGACATTTGTATAAGTGCACTGATATCGCTACCAGTGCAGTGGTATCACTACCAGTGCAATGGTACAAATACCATATTTTGAGTTGAAGTGCAGTGATACAAATATCAGTGCAGTGATACACAAATCAGATCTGGAAATCGAAAAGTCAGATCTGAAAATTGAAAACTCACCAGAAGAGGGTCTTGGGGAGGAGTCGGAAAATGAAGGATCATAAATAGGATAGAGAATTGTATTTTCTATAGGTTTAGATTTAAAAAAATGCAAGTAATAAATACAATATATTTAATTCTTAATTTTTATTTAATAACAAAATATTTATTATGTCTATTTTCATTAATACTTGACAATGATTAATGAAAAAGTTGACCAATTAAGAAGGGGTGTAAAAAAATCAACCCCTTTGTGGGTAGGAATAGTATCCGACCTCGAGAAAACAGCAAAAAAGTCAAGCACTCTTCAAATTTTAGCTACCATCCACCACGAGATTCAACCCGCTCACAAACTTGGACTCGTCGCTGGCCAAGTATAAAGCAGTCTCCGCGACGTCGTTCTTGTGCAGCATCGTACCCTTCAAGCTCGCCTGCTGCGAACCCAGCTCCTGAACCGCCTCCGGTCCAACCCGAGCGCGTTCATCGCCATCGGGGTCGGAACCCCATTGGGCGAAATCGAATTAACCCAAACCCCATACCCACCCAGTTCAACGGTCAGGTTTTTCATCAGCCCAACCACAACATGCTTCGATGTCGTATAAGCATGCGGCGCGTTCCCAAACATTGTCGTAATGTTGCTGGTGGTAAAAATAATCACCCCTTTCTTTCCCCCAATCATCACGCGCGCCGCATGCTTGGCGCAGTGGAACGCGCCGCGAACGTTGACCTCGAGCACTTTGGCAAGATCCTGGCTGTCCGTTGTCGCGATCTGCATCCCTGCGAGTTGGCCCATGATCCCGGCGTTGCTGAACATGATGTCCAGCTTGCCATGGGCCGATACGGCGGTGTCTACTCGTTTTGGACGTTAGACTCGTTGTTGACATACACTGGGCCAACAGCGGATTCAGGGGGCCCGCCCTCGGGCCACAGCCCTGCCTCCCCTAGATTTAGAGCTGGTATAGCCCTTGTAAATTTCCGATTTTAGGTGTTCGTTTCTGTGCTCGTCGGGTTACGACCCAGTCCTCTCCTCCTCTTTTCAAATGTGACCCAGTGCTCTACCCTATCCTGGATCCGCCGCTGCACTTGACGTAAGTGACCGATTGGGCGTGGGGGGAGGTGGAAGTGATCTGTTCGGCGATGGAGGTCGGATTGGACGTCGGCGATTATGACTTTGGCGCCGTTCTGAGCGAAGAGCTTGGCCGCGAAGGCGTCGATGTCGCTCGCGCCGCCGGTGAGCAGTGCGACCTTGCCTTGAAGCCTATCAGCCAAAGCTAAATCGATTAAGTTTCGTTAGATAGTTAGCTTAACATATATATTAACTCGTGTCGTATGTCGTATATCTTCTCCTGTGCTTTCAGAACCGGATCATATATTGAATCGAAAAATGTAGTGATTTATGGTTCAACAGTTAACCATTGTAGAATCGTTAGTTGACACATGATAGAACCGTTCATGCAAGATATCATAAAAAAACATATATAACACACTTACTTATGATTGAATTTATCACTAACTATAAGAAATATATATCAAATCCCTAATTCCCTATCATCCATAACCAAAAATTCTAACAAAATCATTCAAACTATCTCACAAAATACATCATAAATTCCTTTTTAAATTCAAATTGATAATTAGAGTGGCAACCCATAGTGGAACTTATGTAACCTAATTCGTGGGTATAGGCCCAACGTTCCCGCTTTGGAGCGCTGAATCGCGGATTTAGGATGGAGCGCAAAGAATTCGCGAACTATGTTTTTTGGGAGCGCGAATTATTTGAGGGAGAACGCGAATTTCATTGACGAGGAGAGACATCCCTAAGATTCAGTGGGAGAGAGGCGGGGACGATGGATCTGACCGTTTCCGTCACTGCCGCGAAAAAGAGCGAGAGGCCGGGATTCTGGGGGTGCATGCTTCCGCTAAGCCGTAACCATATCCATTTCGTTCTGATCGCCGGAACATCCCTGCCTCCAGCTAGCCATAACCAGATCCTTGTAGTCCCCTGCAAAATCAAACAATCATAATCAGATCCTTGCAATCCCCTGCAAAATCAAACAAAACAAACAGAACAAACATGACATGCAAAAACCAAATTCTTTGATTAAAAAAACCTCTTGATCGGAATCAACGGAGGGGAAATGAGTGGGTGAGAGGAGATACATTCTTCCCCCTCCCTTTTTCTCTTTCACTTGAAAAGAAAGATTGAAGAGCCAGAACAGAAAGGGACTGGCCGATTATGTAGCTTCAGGGGAGCTTTCCTGCCACTTTCCACTTTGTTAGTTTAGAAAGAGAGAAGTGGGTAATAGAAAGAAGCAGAAGAATAGAGAGAGGCAGATGAGAAAGGAATCGATTACTAGCTTTTGATGGGTAAATTGAAGGGCAGCTACAGAGGATGAACAACATATAGAATAGATAATAGGGATTCATCGGGTTACAGAGAAAGGCAAAGAAAGGGAAAGGTAGAGAGAGAGAAAGAGGTTTATGGGCACATAGTGATATTTTGTAATTGGGTCTTCTAAACTTGGGGGTTGGGTACAGTTGGAAAAATTGCCCTCTCAATTACCGAGTGAGGAGTGAGGAATGACATGTTTAAAATTCTAAATGCACATTATTATACATTTATAATTATTTTTATATTTTATTTACTATCTTTATTTTAATGCATTTAGAAAATAATTAATAATTAATATAATATTGACGCTCTATTCACGCTCTCAATTTTGAGTTCTTCAAAAATTGACGCTCTTACGCTCTCGCTCCCGCTCCCGCTCCCGCTCTCGCTCCACGCTCTGGTTACCTAAAGTGGAACACACAAAACATTCAAGGAAGCTGGGAAACGAAGAATATGTAGTTGAAATAAAATTAGTAATTGAGATTGGATGGTCTTAGTTTGTGTTAAATTATTTTTCTTAATTTTTCGATGGTTAAATAGTGAACCAATGAACCAAATAAAACCGGAGCGGTTCACCTCGTTTCATGTCAAACTGTTAGAAAAGTTCGGTTGATCCTTAATCATCAAAATAAACGAACCGAGCCGCTATTGTAATTGATTTGCTAGTTTTACTGGTCCAATCGAGTTGATCCAATTCGATGCTTATAACAATAACAACAATCTTCCCTAATATACAACTCTATCTACAGCTCCACTTAATTAGAGAAGCTAAAACCTGAACATATAGAGAGGGGAATTTCATCTATGCCGTACGCCCGTACCTGTCAGAAGGGAACGGATCAGATCAGTAACCCTATGGTCAGTAACAATGAGTAACTTGTCCACATCAGCATGACATCAGTATCATTTCTCTCCTGAAAAGTCTTCTATTCATTTCCCTTTAATCTTTAACGGACGATTTCTCTCCCGTTTTAAGTCGAAATTTAATTTTTTTTTGCACAGATAAATCAGATTTAATGTGCTCTTTAACATGATATCCACTTTGATATATTTTTAGTACAAAAAAAAAAAATTGAATAATTTTTTTACCAATCATTACCATTTGGTATGCTCCTATTTAATACCATATGGTAAGAAAGCGTATCATGATGGTATGAAAATACCAATATGGTAAGAAAGTTGAATACATGATAGTAGGTGTTTACTAATTGTCGTTTACGACTTTCATCATTGTTTACTACAAGTTACCACAAGTTACCACCCACATATCATAGTGGTAAAGTATGTTAATTTTTTATCCAGTATTTGTTTCACCCATAAATTTATAGATCCAATAGATCATGACGAACTCGTTCCTTCTGAGCAAACGTTTTCGAAAACGACTTAAAAACGAAGAAGTTACCATATGGTATGTAGTTGGTAAAAAAAAAAGTTTCTCGAAATATATTGAAAATTGATCTCAGTTTGTAGAGCACAACGAACTCGTTCCATATGTGCAAAAAAATAAAATAAAATTGAAATCCGAGTTAGAACGAAGAAGATAATAGCCAATTAAGAAAACTAGGGAAAATAACATTTAGATCTGAATTTTCTGAACCCACTTAAGTTTAAAAGTCCAGATTTAGTTACTTATAGGTCAGTAACCAATGATTACTAATTCTATCCTAAATCTGTTAGAAGTGGGTTGCTTGCGAGGAAGACATGACTGATATGTGGACTACTGCGATTGGAACTCGATCGACTTAGAAACTAGAAATTACCGATAGGCTTTCAGTTGACGATGATTGTTCGCCGGTTGTAGAAGAAGGAACAGACGGGTGGCTTTTATAGGTGCATGATCAGTACTCGTAGTAGGCGGCGGCGGCGGCTTTAATATTGTTTTATGTGTTGATTTACATTCTATGGATACGACTAATTAGAAAATTTTGACCAACAAAATCAGCCATCGTAAAAGTAATTAAAAATGGTAACCCAAAACCAGACCGGTGATCAACCTGAAGCCCCCGATAGTCACAATTAAGAAATGTCGTTGCATGACTAAATTCAACAAACGCCAACTGATGAACTGATGATGGATTGATGGTCTTGGCAAATCGCATGGTTTCCATGTAGCTAGTTCATGAACACAATCTATACCATGATGCCGCCATAATTGAACTAGGGATGGCAAGCTTACAAGCAAGGTTGTTAAACCCCTATCGAAGCTTCAGTTGGACTTGGTCCGACCTAAATTGGGCTTCAAAACAGCCTCCAGAAAGTTTTCCGGTTCGACTCCTAAAGAGGGAGAATAAGAGAGAGGAAAGGGAGGAGGGGGAAAGAAGGAAGACAGATGGTGAGTGAGTCATGTAGGTTAAGTACGTTTTATTTTGTAGGAAATAAGTTTTTAATAGATACATGTAAGATAAATTTCATTTCAGTCATTAATTTCTAATTACTACCTTATTTGTACATATATTTAGAAAACGTATAGAACAGCTCAAACCGGTCGGACCTCGATCAGAACAATAAACCTTAAACCCCTTGCTTGACTTACTCAATGACTTAACCCGGTTGACAACCTTGCTTGCAAGTAAAGCTTGTCAAGAAAATTCTCCAGGATGTGCTATTGATCCTAATTATCATATGGCACCGCCAACAAGTAAATTATAGGTCGAGCTAGCATAGAATTATTAATTATTATTTTAATATATAAAAGACACGGTTATACACTACTGTTCATTAGTGGCTCACACTCTTTTCTCTGCAACTTGGCCTTTTCCAAACATTTCTTCTTCGTAGGCCCACGTGGCTACCTCTCTCTCTCTCTCTCAGTTCTATTACCCCATCGTTTTACCCTGCCTGCCTCCAAAGACCTTTGAACCTTCTTCTTCTCCAATGATCTCTTCCACGCCACTTTTTCCTTCCCTCCGCCTAATCCTTCTTTTCCTTCTCTGCTTTTCACAACCACAAGCAACTCTCCTTTTCTTCAACCCTTCTTCTTTGTAACACGATCCAACCCTTCTCTTCTTCGAAACTTTCTCCTCGGAAACACCATCCAATCCTTCTCTTCTTCCTTATCTCTGTTTCTTCTGAATCACCCTTACCTCAGACATGGCAGGCCACCATCTCAGCCTTGCCCGCCGTATTTCAACTTGCGATTCCCCTTTACCCGTTGGTTGCTGCCCGCCATCTCGACCTCAACTGCAAACAATCATGCCTTAGACACTAAATACCTTCTTCTACAAATTTGTTGGCCGCCTCAGAGCACTCTTGGTGGAATCCTAAGTTCCTTCCCCTACATCTTTCAGTCGGCCTTACCCAAAAACTCCATTACGTTGTTGCCCTTATTGCGTTTCGCCACTAGTTCGTAGACGTTGTTGCCTGAATTCCAACCATGATGCAAGCACCAGGGCGTCGAAAAATCAATTGGACCGTGGCGAGGCGGATACCCTACCTTCCTTGTCCCGTCCCACTTCGCCCCCGTTCGCAACATATAACCTACCCACTGTTGGGAATTTGGTTGAACCGGACTAACCAAGTCAAACCGGTTTTGGGTTGGACCGACCAACCGGTTTGGTATTAGACCGACCGAACCGATATTCTAATTCCGTGAAGGGACACATCCCTTTGGCCTAGTGGCGGTTGCATTATTTTATGGATAAGGATAACCTTATGGATAGAGGCAACCCTTCATATGGATAAGGATAACCTTTCATATGGATAGAGGCAACCTTTCATATGGATAAAGGCAACCTTTCATAGGGATTAAGGCAACCTTTCATGAAACAATGCATGGATTCGGCCCCTATAAATATGTGTGGGGTGGATGATGCCACATACCATCAAACATATTCTTCTTCTTTCTTCCAAAAATTTCTAAGTATGCTTTAGTGTTCTTGAGCCTGGAACCTAAAGTGGTGATAGATTTATCCTCGGGAGAAATTTCCTGTAACCCTAGGCTTGTTGAGGGTGGAAATATTCTTTTCGGAAAGTGAACATTGTTCACGACTCTATCACAATCCTGGTCACCCGGTCTCGGGCTATCGTACGTATACCCTCGTCCCTAAAAGTCCCAACAATCGAAAAGAATAGTTTTCTGGTACGATGGCTAGAACCGCTCTTTACAAGAAACCGGTTCCGGTCTATGGAATTATGAGAATGTTCGATGATGGGTTTTTCATCGATGGCAGTAGAAGATGGGTTTTCTTCGTACTTGTCTCATGGTGTATTCCATATCCGGAAGGTAACTTGGAAGAGGGATGATTCGAAGATGAGGAAGAAGGAGAATGATTCGTAAAATGGAGAAATAGAAGAATGAAAATTGCCTTTGGGTAGGTCACATACTCAATGGTTAATTGGTATAATTCTCTATTCGACATTTACGAAGTTCTAGATAAACTTGAATTTGTCTAGTGGTTTGGTGGTGTGATTTTGTCTAGTGGTTTACGTTAAACCAAAGAGACAAAATTGTGTATACAATGTTTGATGATTCTGGTAATAGAGTCGTTGTGTTTGTATGTAAATGACATATTTATCTTTGGGACCAATCAAAGATAAGTGATTTTGTCAAGTGGTTTATGTTATTTTAAACAAGGAGACAAAATGTGTACACAATTTATGATGATTCTGGTAATGAAGTCATCGTACATTTGTATGTATAAGACATGCTTATCTTTGGAACCAATAAAAGATAAGTGAACTTTAATAAAAAGTTGTTATTTCAATTCTCCATGAAGGACATGGGGGAGGCAAATGTGATTCTGTGTATTGAATCAAGCGGAACAACAAGAAAGAGTCCTTCTCTCAATTTTTCTGCATGAGAAGGTACTTGCATAAATTCCATAGTAGGAATTGTAGTGAGTTAAAGACCCCAATGGATCCAAGTATGAAACTTATGGTTAATACTGGAAATCAGCTTTACAACTGGAGTATTCCATGTTAAATTGGGGGCTCGGTGTATGCATGACTTGCATGATGCTAGATATCGCATACGCGATAGAACAATTAAGTTGGCACATGATGAATCCTAGTTCTCATCATTTGAAAATGAAATGAGGCGTGTACTAGGATATGCCAAAGGCACATTGTATTGACTTATAGTGGCTTTC